TGCCACCACCACATCACCTGAACGAATGAGGCCCGGGGGAACATCAGGCGGGCTGGCCACGTTTCCCAGGACAATGAAGCAAGCGTGACGGCGAAAGACCGCTAACTCGCCACCAAACAAAGGCAGCGTGGCAGGCTGAGTAACGACCCTCGGAGACGGAGACGCCCACATCCTGATCCTCAAGCCTCATGAATACATCACCTTACGTGGCAAAGAGGACTTGGAGGATGGAGTGAAGCTAAGGACCTCGAGGCGAGATGAGCCCGGATGATCCGGGCGGGCCCACCGTGCTCACGCGTGTCCTTACAGGAGGGAGGCAGGAGGTCAGAGTCGGAGGAGACGCGATCGAGAAGCGGAGGTCAAGGAGACAGCGAGCGGGATTTAAAGACACTAGGGCGCTGGCTTTGACGACGGGGAGAGGGGTTACCTCGAGAATGCGGCACCTCAAGCACCTGCCAAAGGCAGGAAACAGATTCTCCCCAGAGCCTCCAGGAGTGACAGAGCCCTGCTGACACCCTCACGTCAGCCCAGTGAGACGGATTTCAGACCTCTGACTTCCAGAAGCATGAATGAATCTGCACTGTTTTTGTTTTTTTTTTTATTTTTTTTTCAACATTTATTTATTTTTCGGACAGAGAGAGACAGAGCGTGAACGGGGGAGGAGCAGAGAGAGAGGGAGACACAGAATCGGAAACAGGCTCCAGGCTCTGAGCCATCAGCCCAGAGCCTGACGCGGGGCTCGAACTCACGGACCGCGAGATCGTGACCTGGCTGAAGTCGGACGCTCAACCGACTGCGCCACCCAGGCGCCCCTAATCTGCACTGTTTTAAACCACTATGTTTGCGGTAATCTGTTACAGCAGCAATAGGAAATTAAGATGGATGGATAGATGGAAGGAAGGATACATAGACCATCAAGTCTAGTTTCTAGGACAGTAAAGAGACAAGTTGCAAATCCTGCACATCCCTTAAAGCACAACCTTCTAGTGTATGCAGGATCAGGAAAAGAGCCTCCGAGATTCCTACGATCTTCCCCTGAGAGGGGTAGACCCAAGGCCGTCCCCCCGTCCTCGTCAACAGCCGGCACTGCCCAGCTTTTCTGTAAAGCTCCAGGGCTGTCGACTTTATCTTCATTAACAGCGTTTCATAGGAATGTTACTTCTCTCATAGAGTCTGCATCTGTCTTGCTCTCTGCACTCAAATCCAGTCCGTCCTCCCAAGACCAGCTCAAGTCCCCGGTTCAATGCCAGCACTCACGGACAACACCAAGGACACGCCAGGCCTGGGATGAAGGGGAGCCCCGTGCCACTTCCTTCCCCTTCCCAGGCCACTGTACCAAGCCACCCCCCACCCCCGGCTCCGGCCCCGAGTTCCTGTCTTGCCCACGTAGCCCTTACCACACCACTCTGCGTTAACCGTTTCCTTCATCCCTTGGTTCCCCAACTGGAGCACAGACCTCCGGAGGGCAGATGTGTCTGAAAAACTAATCTTTCTATAGCTTGAAAAACTGAAAAATACACACGTTTTAAAACCCATTATGCATAGTTCAGAGAATAACAAGACAGCCACGCGGTCACCCTCCTTCACAAATAAAACCAGTCTTAGAAGACCCCCCCCCTTCTTCCCTGATCATATCCCCTTCGGCCACCCTGGGGGAAACCACTCCCCTGAATTCTGACATCACCATTCCCTTGCCCTTTAAAAAAAAAATCAAATAAAATAGTTGTACTTTTAGCCCAGCGGGGATTCTGAAAGAACGTGTTCAGTTTTGTCTGGTTTTGAACTTTATGTGAAGCAACCACAGCGTGTATATTCTTTGGTGACTTTCTGCTTTCACTCAACGTTGTTCTCGAGACTCACACGTACCCCGGGAGCTGTAGGTCAGACTTTTCGCTGCTGCACACTACACAGAAACACACAGCACAGACACGCCACGGCCCGTACACCCATTCTACCGCTGATGTGCATTTGGGTTGGGCTTTTGGCTTGACAATTACGGAGAGAGCTGCCGGGAGCATTCTCGTGCGCATCCCCCGAGCACATGCCCAAGAGTCCCCCGAAGGGGTGTGCCCGAGTCAGGCTGCTGGGGCCACAGGGCACCCGCGCACATGTTCAACCAGGCACTGCCCAAGCGGCTTGGTCTATCTGACCAATCCCCACGCCCGTCAGGGAGCGCCCCTCCCCAATGGCTGGCACCGTCGGCTCCCGCCCACAGGGTGGCTGTGAAACGGGAGCTATGGTTTTAATTTACGTTTCCTGATTATTAATAAGCTTGACTGCATCCTTTGATGCTTCTGTGCTGTTTGGGGCTCTTCGTCTGTGAAGCGCCTCTTCCTGGCTTTTGCCCTTACTTCTACCGTGCTGTCTTTCTTTTCACTCTATATTCTAGACACCGCTTCTCCGTATGTTTTGTCTCTTTACGGTGCTTTTGACGAACTGAATGTCTTGATTTCAACGTAGTCAAATTTATCAATCTTTCTCCTGTATGGTTTGTGCTGTGTTATCCTCCAGTTCAGAAACCCCTCTCGGCCCCGAGACATAAACAAATTTCCCTGTATTATTTTCACAAACGTTCTATGCCACTTTGCTTTTCAGACTTACGTCTTTAATTCTCCTGCAGCTCGGTGATGGTGTGAGGCTGGGATCACACCCATCTTTAAAATTCCTCCTCAGCACCTAGCATGATGCTGCATATACAATATCTCTGTAACAAATAGATCAAATACTGCTTTGTGTTCACAGCTCGGATTTCACTCTTGAGGAGAAAAAAAAAAAAAAACATAAGAAGCTTCTCAACCTCTGGGTCAGCACTTTGACCAAGTTATTATTGGCGTAGCATGACTTTTTGGAATTTCCTTACTTCCTTTGCCAATTCGGAGGCTACGGCTAACCTGAATTCACGGGAAGCTCAGTGGAAAGAGCAGAACATGGGAGTCCTCGTCTAAGATCCAACAGTCCTGGGTTTTGGGTCTCCATTTGTGCAACAGGAATTAAAACAACAGTGGCACCCACTCCTAGGCATACACCCCAGACAACTTACACTCACACAGAAGCTTGTACAGCCATATTCCCAGCAGCGCTATTCACAATAGCTACAACGTGGAAACAACCATCAACAGATGAATGGATCAACAAAATGTGGCCAATCCACATTTGGTGGGGTATTCGCAATAAAAAGAACGAAGTACGAAGCGCCCTGCTACTCAAACCCTGAAAACACTCTGCTCGGTACAAGAAGCCAGACACAAAAGGCTACAAATCATACGAATCAATCCACAGGAACTGTCCAGATAAGGCAAACCAGAGACAGAAAGTAGATGGTCAGGGCTGCCAGGGCACAGGGGCAGTGGGAATGGGGAGTGACTGCTAACGGGGTAGGATTTTTTTTTTTTCTGGGATGATGGGAATGTTCTGGAATTAAAAAGTGGTGATGGCTGGAGAGAGTGAATATGCCGCTACGAAGAACATTTTGAAATGGCTAAAACCTTAAATGGTGAATTTTCTGTAATATGAATTTTATGTCAATCTTTAACATGCACTAAAAAAATGCCAATTTGTTGAACACCACGCTACTGGAATATTCCTGTAGTGACTAAAACCACAGACGCTGAAAATAGACTTCCTGGAGTCGGATCCTAAGAGCTGTGTCTTGGGTGAAGGTGAAATTACTTCACCTCTGGGCTTTCCTTACATCATCTGTAAACACCGACATAATAGTTCCTGCCTGAGATCACAAGAATTAAAGGACCTCATACTTACAAAGCACTTAGAACAGTGCCTGAACTTAAGTGCTCACTAAATGTTAGCTATTAGCAGCTATAACTCGATGTGCAACGTTAGCTACGGGCTATCTGTAGTGGCCGGGGAATTAGAACCAAGAGCTGGCTCAAAGCAGAAGTGTCCCCTAAGGACTTTAGCCCTAACACCTCACTGTTTTCTCACTAACGTTAGGAGGCAGAGTTATCATCACCCCCCCCCCAGTTTACAGATGGGGAAACTGAGGCTGAGAGAGGTTAAAGTGACACACCCAGGACCTCACGGGAATTCGAATCAAGGTCTAACAAAATCCAGAGCCCTGGCTGGCCGCCCCACTGGGAGACATCACCCCCCCCCCCCCGGAGGGAATCTGGCTGTCATCACCGCGGGGGCTGCAGGTCTTGGGGTGGCTGGGCTGCACGCTCCTCTGAACCAGGGACCAGGACCCTTCCGCTCCGGCACCTGGCGGCGCCCAGCACACCCGAGCAAACCACCGCGCTTGGGGAAGCGGCGGTGGCCTTTCTTCAGGCGCTCCCTTAATCTCAATTACTCCTAATTCAGAACAAAGACGACAACAAATCCCACTCCAAGTCCTTCAGACATGAGAATAAAGGAGCGCGCACAAAGGGGTGACTCTCGGAGCCTCGCGGGGAGCCCCGGGCTAGGGTCTGGGGCCAGAGGGGCCGAGCTGGGGTGGGTGGGGCGCGAGACCTTCGGGGGTCCCTGGGGAGGGGGAGGGCCCAGAACGGGGGTCCCCCGGGGTGCAACGCCGGGATGGGAGCTGGGAAGGGGCGCCGCGGGGCTGAAGGAATGAGTCTGGAAGGAAGGGTGTCGAGGCGGGGGGTCGTAGGGAACGGAGAGACGAAGAGGTCCGAAGGTCCGGGATGCTGATGGCGCCGAGGGGCACCGGTCCCGGGGGGCGTGGCGGGGCTCACAGGGAGGGGCGCGCCGAGGGCGACGAAGCCAGCTCGGGGCCCGGGGCCGGGCGCGGGGGGCGGGGGGGGGTGGGGACGCGGTACCTGCAGAGGCGGCGCAGTCTCCGAGTCGGTCCCGCCAGAGCCGCGAGGCCGCCGCCCCCGTCACCACCGCCACCGCCGCCCCGCTCAACGCCGCCGCAGCTGCCGCGGGCCGCGCCCCACGTGACACGCGCCCGCGCCGGGGGCGGAGCCGTTGCGGGGCCCGCCCCCGGCGTCCCTACGTGCCGGCCCACCTTACTGCGCGTGCGCGGCGGTTGCCGTGGAATCCGGGCAAGCGTCTGGCCGCCAAGGATTCGGGCGCGAGTGGTCGGCTGAGGAGGAAAGCGGGGCCTCCCTGGCGGGGCCGGGGACAGTAGCGACCCCACGCAACGGGGCTTTCGGGGCTTCCGGAATAAGCATGCACCCCGAGACCTCGGAGCCCGTGGTGGACGGGCCGGCGGAGCAGGGCTGCGCGCAGGAGCCGGGCGTGGAGGAGTCGGCGGGCGACCACGGGGACGCAGACCTGGGGGGCCGCAAGGAAGGTGCCGACTGCCGCCCCAGGGAGCCGAGGGGGGGCGAGGGGCTGCCCCCAGCACCACACCTGACCTTCCCAGCCAGCGGGAACAACAGTAATAATAACAGGAGCGGCACACTCTTTTTAAAGGATGCGTGCCCAGCGTTCACCTCGTTTGAGCCTTACACCCTGCCCTCTGCGGCAGGCCCTCCTCCCCCAGTTCATAGAGATGAGGAAACGGACTTAAAGAGGTTTTGAAACTGGCTCCAAATGGATCACCCTCATTCAGTCAATGACAGAACAGACCCATGCTGCATAGTCCGACTCCGGAGCGCTAGCCCTTGCCCAACACCCCCTTCCCCCATCGCCCACCTGTTCCATGTTTTCAACGTATCTCTTTGTTGCTACCACCGTGTAAGACCGAAGGCTCTCCCCTTCTAGACCGCAGGCTGTGTTGGGGCAGGATTTCCTGATCGAATTCAATGTCCAGCCCAGTGCCTGGTCCGTGGTAGAGAGCGAGTGAGGAGCTGGTGATTCTGGGGTCAGTGGGTGACTGCCTCCACAGAGTTTCCCAGAATGGGTTTAGAAGACAGCCTTCACCCTCTGCTCCCATTTCTCCACTCCATTTCCTTTAAGGGAAATCTTTTAACGACGAGACAAACTACTTGATTTGTATTTCATTTTTTGGACGCAGTCAACAAACGTGTCTTGAGCACTGACCTGTCCAGGCAAGCCCTGTATGGAAGAGCTGTAGGGAAGCCTTGTAGCCGTCTGGAAAGAGATAGGCTTTGGAGCTGCTCACGCTGGGTATGGGTTGCGGCTCTGCAACTAACTAGCTTTATGGCTGCCAGCCCAGGGTTTAAACCTCTCTTTGGGGGCAGTCTCCTCATCTGTAAGCAGGGATAATCATAATTAGGTTGCTGGGTTACTGTGGGCCATTAATCAACGCTAGCTCTTGTCATTCATGCAACCAATCAATCATTACGTATATGGAGCACCTCCTCTTTATTCCACAAACACTTATCTGGTGCCTCTCTTGGCTGGGCATTGTGTGCAGTGGGAAATAGAAGAGTGTAAGACACAGCCGTTTAGTGTGGTTCGATAGACCACAGGAACACAGAGTGCGGTCGCCAGTGGCTCTTAAAGGTTAAGTGCATTTGAACTGGCCAATTTTGATTGACCGCTAAAAAAAAAAAAATTAAGTGCCTTTAAATGTGCTCATTCGCTTCTTACCAACGATATTTTCACCGTTTTTGTTTCTTTTCCTGTGGTTTTTCTTTCGAGAACTTTTACAAAAGAAGAGAGAACATCATAACAAGCGCCCAGGCTCCGTCACTAAGAATTGAACATGATCAATACTTTATCATTTCTGCTTGAAGTCTTTTTTCAACTTAAGAAATAAGGCATTTCAGATAAAGTTGACGTTCCTTTTGGCCTCCTGCCCTCAGTTCATTCTCTGCTCTCCTTCTCCAGAATTTTGTATGAATTCAATCACCTCTGTCTCTGTAATATATCCTTAAACAGTGCAGAGCATCGGTTTGTATGTTTTAAACCTGTATGAATGTTATCCTGGGCTTATTACGAAACTTGCTTTTTCATTTCATACACGATTCTGAGAATTATCCGTATTTTTTTAATGTGTGTCTATTTTTGAGAGAGAGAGAGAGGGAGACACAGAATCCGAAGCAGGCTCCAGGTTCTGAGCTGTCAGCACAGACCCCCACCCAGGGCTCGAACCCGCAAGATCATGACCTGAGCCAAAGTCGGATGCATAACCGACTGAGTCACCCAGGTGCCCCAAGAATTGTCCATATTGATTGATGTAGCTCCAGTGGCTTCTTTTCCAAGGCAGACTAGTGATCCATTGTTTTGTATAACCAGTCGCTATGGATGTTTGCACTGTTGACACTCTTTGGCTGTTAAAAGTAACGCAGAAATGAATATCTTTGCACACATGTCCTTGCACACCTGTACAAGAGCTTTCATAGAGGACGTGCCCGGAAACAAACTTCCCGTGGTCCTTACCGATGCTTTACAAACTGTCACCCACGTTCCATACTAAACACAGATACTAATCAAGCTGAAATTGGGCAAATTTTTTTTCTACCCTCTTGACCTCTATGGAACCAGTCTCTCTCTCTCTTTTTTTTTTTATAGCAATTAATGATCCTAAGGAAACACGTGTGGGTCCTTCTGACATACGCTACCCAAGCGAGCAGAAACAGAGTGGCGATAGCGGGGCAGACGGTCACTTAGGACACCAGACAGATGACAAGGGAGACCACGGCCCCAGGTATGTGGGCATGCTGCTGCCAGTGCCAGCGCACATTTACTGAGGAAGGAAGATCATGTGACCGCCCCTTTGTATCAATAGGGAAACTGAGGCTCGGGGAGGTTAAAGAGCTGGCCCCGGTGTCTGAGAATTGGTAGGGGAGTCAGGACGGCGCTGCCTCTGTGGCACAACTAACCACAATGTATTAAACTTTAATGCCAGACCTGGAGAGAGAAATACTGGCCGTTCTTGATGACACCGTCGAAAGTATTTTTATTAGAACCTACACAGCAATTTTCACGATTGCCGAAAGTGATGATACGGGACGAGGCCCTGAAAAAGGCGTACTGAAAAAGAACTTAAAAGAGTTACCAGGCAAAAAAAAAAAAAAAAAAATTAGTTATCAGGCATGTAGGATATTTTGGAATTTGGGGAAGAAGTTCTGGACTGTATTGCAAATTGAAATTTCAAATTGCTGACAAATTGCAACGAATTTCCTTTTCATGTTTCTCATGCAACAGAATGACTAAACGTTTTATACAGAAACTCTGCAAGCAACACCAACTTTACATTACCCCAGCATTGAACGACACGCTGTATTTACACTTTAAAGGTAAGGACCTGGGGGCGCCTGGGGGGCTCCGTCGGTTAAGTGCCTGACTTGGGCTCGGGTCATGATCTCACGGTTCGTGGTTTTGAGCCCCTCACGGGGCTCTGGGCTCACAGCTCAGGGCCTGGAACCTGCTTTGAATTGTGTGTCTCCCTCTCTCTCTGCCCCTCCCCTGCTTGCTCTCTGTCTCTCTCTCAAAAATAAACAAACATTAAAAAAAAAAGTTTTAAGGTAAGGACCTGCCCCAGAAGTGTCGCATCAGGCCGAAGTTATCAAAAGTGTCTTGCTGGGATCCTCTGGAGTTCTCAAAGTATATCAAGGTAGAAATTTCAGAGTTGAGTGGAGATTTACGGAAAAGCAGTATTTCTCCGAAAAGTCTTCCCTGACTGGAGTTTATAAAGGGGGCCACTGCCCGTACCGATACCAGGGAAGCGTGTTGCGATCTTTGATTTATATTTTCTTTTTTTTTCTTTTTTTTTTTTCAACGTTTATTTATTTTTGGGACAGAGAGAGACAGAGCATGAACGGGGGAGGGGCAGAGAGAGAGGAAGACACAGAATCCGAAGCAGGCTCCAGGCTCCGAGGCGTCAGCACAGAGCCCGACGCGGGGCTCGAACTCACGAACCGTAAGATCGTGACCTGAGCCGAAGTCGGATGCTCAACCGACCGAGCCACCCAGGCGCCCCTTGATTTATATTTTCTAAAGGACTTTACGTTTTTCAGACCAGCAATCTGGTGGTGAACACTGGGCTTGGGCGGGATATGTGTTGAAAGATGAGGGTTCTTGGCGGCCCCAGGCCCGAACAGTAGGAACAGGGCGTCCCGGAGGGCTCAGGTTGGGTGTGCCGAATCACACGTAAACCTCAGCTGGGGTCCGTGGACAGGGCGATTCCCAGCGGTGATGACGAGGAGGGACATCTTCCACTTCCTCTGAACTCAGGGTGGCCAACCTGCTTCGTCGGTCCTCCGTGTGTTCCTTATTCAAGTCAGTAAACATGGACTTAGAGTCTCTGTGCTCAGTGCTGGAGACACAGAGACACATATGGCAGAGGTGCCTTTGGTGTCCTGCGGGACGGGGCGGCCCCCGGGAGGTGCACTGTGCCAGGAAGGCCCCCAAGGGCTCTTAAAGAAACGCAGGGGCTCCTAGCTGGTCTCCTCACCTCCACGTTGCCCCTCCAAAATTCTGCACCCAACGTAGGAATCGCAGGGAATGGGATGATGTCGCAGGGCGGATCCCGAGGGGACCGATCTTTAAGAGGTTGGAAGAAGAGGACCCAACAGGTTGGACTCAGTGGAGAGAGTCAGAAGGTACAAGAGCTAGGAGGGAGGAGTCCCTGGATTCTCTGCTGCTGCCATGGATCAAATTGTCCCCAAACCTAGCGATGAAAACAAATTCAATGTCTGGTACCGTTTCTGAGGGCCGGGAATCTAGGAACAGCTTTGCTAATTCAGCGATAGTGCAATTTTTTAATCAAAACTTCTCCAGGGGGGGCGCCTGGGTGGCTCGGTCGGTTGAGCATCCGACTTCGGCTCAGGTCACGATCTTACGGTTCGTGAGTTCGAGCCCCGCGTCGGGCTCTGTGCTGACGCCTCGGAGCCTGGAGCCTGCTTCGGATTCTGTGTCTTCCCCTCTCTCTGCCCCTCCCTCGCTTGCACTCAGTCTCTCTCTATCTCTCTTAAAATAAATAAACATTAAAAAAAAATTTTTTTTAACTTTTTTGGGCAAAAAAAATAACCTTTCAAAGGCTTTGCGTAAGAGCAGAGGAACGATGAACTACAAGTTGATAATGAGTTACTAAAGTAAAGAAAACGTCTTCTAACCTTAAATTTGGCTCATAAAACTGAAAAATGGAACGAAACAAAACCCACAGTTAGCACTCCTTTCAGGCTTAGCCGGGTCCCCACGCTCACGGTACGGCTTCCCTTGGCTGTCTTCCCCTGCTTGGACCTGCTTCTGGCTCTTTTCGGGAAGGCCCCCCATCACCTCCACTCACTCCCGGCCATGAAGGGAAGGAAGGTGGTCGCTACAGGGCTCGGCCCCACCTTACCCGGACTGGCCGTCCCAGCGAAAAGACCACCTCTCTCCAGTGGAGCCAGCAAACCCCCCCAGCTATCAAAGCTGGCCCCGCTTGGCTAAGTGTGACTGGCCCCCAGTGAACTGCTAAGACTCTGTTTGCCCCCCCCCCAGGAAGCCATGGGGCAGCCCCAGGAGAGGAATGCCCCTCAAGGAAGGTGGCCGTGGTGTTCCCAGCGGAAGGAGGTGTGGATGCTTGGCAGGGAGGCATACACAAGGGTGACCCCGAGCTCCTCTGACGCCCCCTTCCTTCTCACCAGGTTTCGATCGCATCGAGAACCTGGAAGAGTACACGGGGCTGCGTTGCCTCTGGCTGGAATGCAACGGGATACAGAGAATCGAGAATCTGGAGGCCCAAACCGAATTGCGATGTCTCTTCCTGCAAGTGAACTTGCTTCATAAAATCGAGAACTTAGAGCCTCTGCGGAAGCTGGATGCCCTCAACCTGAGCAACAATTTCATCAAGACCATTGAAAACCTCTGTAAGATGCCCCCACCCCCGCCCCCAGGGGTCTTTCTCTGTGCCACTGCACCCACCCCTTTCCCCTGGGGGAGGTTCTGAAGGATTTGTACACCTCTGTCGCTTACTTCTGCCCGCCTCACCTTCCAGCCTGCCTGCCGGTCCTGAACACGCTCCAGATGGCCCACAATCACTTAGAGACCGTGGAAGACATTCAGCATCTAAAGGAGTGTTTGAAACTTTGCGTCCTCGACCTTTCCCACAATAAGCTGAGTGATCCCGAAATCCTGAGCGTCCTGGAGAGCATGCCTGACTTGGTAAAACGTGCACACGCTCAAAACTTGCGTTCTTTAGATACCGAATCTCTCGTCCCTCCTTTCCTCCGGGCTCTTCCTTCTCCCAGTCTGTCCTCTTGGTGTTTGGAGCTGGAGTAGCTCGAATGCCCAGGCTCCGGGTCATTTCACCCGCAAACGTTTCAGCGTGGGCCGCTGGCAGACGAGGACTTCCTTTCTTGACTGCTCACAGTTACCCCCCACTGGCCCCTCTCACTCCTCCGCCAGAGAAGCCGGCCCCCCTTTCGGGACTTTGTCACACTCCGGATTTGGTTGATTGCACCCCCGTGGTGTCGTTTACATGTTCTGCTGGACCCGTGTTTCTTGTGAAATGCTGATGGGGCCGGAGGCGCGGTCCAGTACAGCTCAGGCTGCGGCACATCGCAGGGCCTGTCATGTCTGGTTGTCTCTCTTGCGTGGAACTTGAAGAGAGCCTGGTGGCCCCCTCATGTCGTCAGCCTGCTGCAGCCAGTTGAGGCCCCCCACCCCCACCCCCCGGCTGTGTAGCAGCCACTGGTGAACGCGGACACCGCCTCGATGACCCATTCCTTCAGGAGCCACGCGGTGGCCATTGCCCAGACCCCATGTGCCTGCCACGTTAGCTGGCGTACTTCTGCAACCGGGAACCCCCTCGTCTAGTGGCTCCCCATGCGTAGTTCACACAGAAAAGGCCGGGACGAAGGTCTGGTCCGTTCTTTTTATTCATCGATTTTCGGGGAAGGGGGTCAAGAACCCAGCGACCACTAATGGTGACAATGAACGGCTTTTCTTTCCTGGTGTCATCATAAACTCGGGTTTATGTCTACAGTGTCTGATACGATTTAACCCTTGCTGTCACGTGTACCGAGGAGAGGAAAGTATGACAAGGAAATTTACAAGGAGAGCATTACAAGGGGCACCCAAAACCCCTGAGTTTACTGTTCACCACTTAGGGCATGGATGTGTAAAGGCAAACCTGGGTCGCTTTAAAGAATGGTAAGCAAATCACAGTTCAGGAACAATCTGAGCAGCTGGTCAAGAAGGGCTAGCTTAGAACTGCCAGCACACGGCGATAATATAAAGCTGTCATATAATACTTGTTTTTTCTCGTTGCTTAACTGCCGTAACAAAGTACCACACACTGGGCGGCTTAAGTGACAGAAATGCATTTTCTCATGATTCTGGGGGGTAGAAGGTCCAGGATCAAGGTGTCGTTGGGGCTGGTTTCTCCTGAGGCCTCTCTCCGTGGCCTGTAGACAGACGGCTCACTGCGTCGTCACGAGGTCCTTCCCTCCGTGTGTGTCCGAATCCCCTCTTATCCCCGAATCCCTGACACCTGTCACACCGGACAGGGGCCCACCCCAATGACCTCATGTAATCTGAATCACCTCTTTAAAGGCCCTATCTCCAAATTCGGCCACATTCTGAGGATGCTGGGGTTAGAAATTGAACGCGTGAATTTGGGGAAGGGGGGTGGACACAGCTCAGTCCGTGACAAAAGCAGTCTGCTTTACAGTGACGTTGTGATCGCTTTCAAATCCTCCCCACACAATGCAGCCCCTTAGTGCCTGCCCCTGGGTGTATTGCCCCCCACCCCCACCCCACCCCAGCCCTGCAGCGCTGGCCCCTGAAGGCACCATGAGAATGGAGAAGGCGGTATGAGAATGATGTTTGGGGAATGCTACGTTAAATAGCGTATGGTGAATTTATTTTCACCAATAACACAAACCACTTTAGATCAGAAAACTCACGCCTTCAGGCAAACTAGTTTTAAATGGCCCTCCCAGGGGCGCCTGGGTGGCGCAGTCGGTTAAGCGTCCAACTTCAGCTCAGGTCACGATCTCGCCGTCTGTGAGTTCGAGCCCCGCGTCGGGCTCTGGGCTGATGGCTCAGAGCCTGGAACCTGTTTCTGATTCTGTGTCTCCCTCACTCTCTGCCCCTCCCCCGTTCATGCTCTGTCTCCCTCTGTCTCAAAAATAAATAAACGTTAAAAAAAAAAAAAAATTTTAAAAGGCGCACCCGGATATCACCTTGGCCGCTCACTTCTCCGAGTTTCGCAGGCCGGGAAGGAGGAGACGGTGTGTAAAGACGGGGGGAGGCCACGCTGCTCCAACGACATCCAGCACTTTCCAGCCTTTCCCTAAGTCAGTGCTTCCTGTCCGCCTGGCTGCGGTGTACGCTTTCTTAAAATGGGTGCTGGCTGGGAAAGAGGGAAAACGATCAATTAGACCGAGGTTGATGTCAGCAAAAGGGCTTGGCTGAGCAAAACAAGGCCCTCGCTGACGCGGAGAGGCCTCCGGATGTGCCTCCCGAGGCTGTTCCGGAAGGACGGTGAGATTCCAGATCTGGCGTTCAAGCGCAAGAAAGCGCTGCTCTCTAATCATCAGCTCTGGGGACAGAAAAGTGAGGAGACCCCTCTGGCTTCCCTGATAAAGTCGTGAGGAGATGGCGTGGGCACATGCGTTGTGTTTTGTTCTCTCAGAGCACCGCACGCGTGAGATAGTTCAGTCACACCCCTGTTTTTGTAACTGCTTTGGTTCATGCTTACAGCGTGTACTGAATTTGATGGGAAACCCCGTTATCAAGCACATCGCAAACTATCGAAGGACAGTCACCGTACGACTAAAACATCTAACCTATCTGGATGACAGACCAGTCTTCCCAAAGGACAGGTAAGGAGGGGGGGAGCCTTTGGCTCACGTTTTAATACAAAATTGTTGTGCACACTTAACAGTAAACTCGTACAAATTTCTGACTTGGAAGCATTTTCGCACATCGTCACACATTGTTAGGAAACAAGTTTGATGACTGCATAACTGTTTATAACAAGAAATTCCCTGTTTTCGAGCGCTTATTCATAGATTGGCCTTTTCATAATCCCCTGATGAGTATCCTTGCATGTGAGTCTCCGACCTCGCTCCTGCTGATTTCCATAAGGTGGAATTCTGGGAGTGGTGTTATTGGATTAAGGACTGTGGTTTGAGCCTTTTCAAAGGCGCTTGTGAGTATTTTCTAATTGTTTTTTAGCAAGTTTGTAAAGTTCATAACTTCAGCAGACATAGCCGCCTGAAAGAAATCTTTGCCGGGTTAATCGGAGAGCGAAGACTGTATCTCATTTTATTTGGGGGTAACTGATGGGGTCGGGCGTCAGGCAGGGGCATCGTCTCCACCCATCACTTTCTCCCGCGCTCCTTTTGGAGGCCCTTTCCTTCCTGGTTGCTAAGAGCTCTTCCTTATATTAAGAATATTGAACCCAGGACTCCCGTATGTGTTGTCACTACCTTCATCTGTGTTTTTAATTTAAGTCCCTTTTGATTCTCACAGTAAGCCCCCAGTAGTACGGGCTGCCGATAATACGTTCTTGAACTCGCAAACTTAAATCCAACCAACAAATATTTCCAATAGAAGTGAGAGCCTCCTCTCCAACCAGGCGAGAAAACAAAACCGCCTGCTTCTGGGCAGTCTGAGTTCTGTCCGCTCCGAGGGGCTCGCTAACGTCCCCGGCCTCACATTCCTCTCCTGGAAGGTGGGGACAATGTGACCGCAGCGTCCTTGTTCCACGTGGGGTTTGAGCAGAGCTGGGCTCAGAGGAGAGAGCGGGAGCCCCACCCGGGGCGGGGCTGACCCCGCAGGGAAGGGTGAACAGGGGTGGGAGCCGGACCCCTGGCGGTGAGACCCCCGCGCTCTGGCTCAGGGCCCCGAGTCCCCTGGGTCTTAGTTCTAACCGCGCCCACCCCTGGCTGATGGAGCGAGCCACCGGATGTTCTCTGTGCCCCGGAAGCATTTCACTGGTGTTGCAGGTGTCTACTCACGCGTCACCTCGTTAAGCCCTCCTGACCCCACCCCTCATCTCGGACGCACTTTTCCACCTGGGGTCTCTTTAACCGGATTTCTTTTCTGTGGACACATCAGCCTCTGGCATACTTGTTTCCTTCTTTAGGGTCTGTCTTTCCCCATAAAAGGGCAGTTCTAACAGAGCGAGTATCGTCACCTCTTGGGTCACCTGCTGCCGTATCCCCAGCCCCTAGAACAATTCACCCATTCAAGGTGTACAAGTCAGTGCTTTCTAGTGTATTCAGGGTTGTGCGCCCATCCCCACACCCATTCTAGAATATTTTTGTCGCCCCAGGAAAGTAACCCTTACTCATTAGCTGATATCCCTCATTCTCTATCTCTGTGGGTTCTTTCTTTTCTGGATGTTTCATATAAATGGCATCACACCACGTGCGGTCTTTCGTGATCGGCGGAGCAAAACCGTTTCAAGGCTCGTCCACACAGCAGTATGTATCAGTAATCCGTTCCAAAACAACGTCACAAAATAATATTCCATTTGGAAATGCCCCATTGTATTTATCCATCCGTTGATGGACTTTTGGGTTGTTTCCACTTTGGGGCTATCGTGAAGGGTGCTGCTACCAATGTTCGTGTGTGGGTGTTTGTGTGGACATCTCTTTTTATCTCAGTTGAGGGGATACTTAGGAGCATCACCCTGGCTTGTACGGGAAGAGTATGTTTATTTTTTTTTTTATTTTTTTTTTAACATTTATTCATTTTTGAGAGACAGAGACAGAGCGCAAGCAGGGGAGGGGCAGACAGAGAGAGAGAGAGGGAGACACAGAATCCGAAGCAGGCTCCAGGCTCCGAGCCATCAGCACAGAGCCCGACGCAGGGCTCAAACCCATGAACTGTGAGATCATGACCTGAGCTGAAGTCAGATGCTTAACGGAATGAGCCCCCCCAGGCATCCCTGGGAAGATTACGTTTAGCCTTGAGGTTGCCTGGCTCCCTTCCAGAGCAGCAGCACCGCGATGAGCGACTCCCTGCTTGGCGTCCTCGCCAGCATCTGGTGTCAGTGTTTGGGAGTTTCAGTCCTTCCAGTTGGTGAGATGTGGGATCTCATCGATGTAATTTGCAATTCCCTAATGTCATAGGATGCTGAGCTTTTTTGCCATCTGCCTATCTTCTTCGGTGACGTGTCTAGGTCATTTGCCCGTTTTATTTTTGTGTGTGTGTGTTTTTAATTTTTTTTAATGTTTTTATTTATTTTTGAGACAGAGAGAGAGCATGAGCAGGGGAGGGGAAGAGCGAGAGAGAGGCACAGAGTCCGAAGCAGGCTCCAGGCTCTGAGCTGTTAGCATAGAGCCCAACGCGGGGCTCGAACTCACAGATCGTGAGATCATGACCTGAGCCGAAGTCGGACGCTCAACTGACTGAGCCACCCAGGCGCCCCGTGTGTGGGTTTTTTTTTTTTTTTTGAGTTGTCATAGTTGTTTGTTCGAGACAGAAGCCACCTCCCAGTTATCTTTCTTGTAAATATTTTCTCCCCATCTGTGGCTTCTGATTTCATTAAAAAAAAAACACCTTTTTCTATTTTTAAATTATGTTGTCTTTGTGTCGAGTTGTAGAAGTTCTTTATGTATTCTATTTACACATCCTTCAGCAGACCTATGATTTGCAAATACTTTCCCACATTCTGTGGGTTGTCTTTTTACTTCGTTTATGGTATTCTTTGTGTTACAAACATTTCTAATATCGACAGAGTCCGAGTTCTCTGTTTTTCTTTTGTTGCTGCTGCTTTTGGCATCACATCGGGAGGGTTTTGCATACCATCAAAGGCATAGGTGTGCGCGTGTTATCTGGAATCCTTGTGGCCACATGTCCCCTGTGCCTTCAGTTTGATTTGAGGGAAATGAGCAAGTTTGGTCGGACAGTGTATGTTTTGAATTGACTTTTAACCTGCGAAAATTCAAACCTTCCCAGTTTCTGGTGTTTTTGTTTGTCCTCATCGACAGAGCTTGTGCCGAGGCCTGGGCCAGGGGCGGGCTC